ACGGAAGTAAGAGCTGTCCGGTGGTATTTTACAGGCTCAGGCGTTTGAACAGAAGTCAGAACAACATTTGAAGATATTCTTTAGAATAACGATGAGTAAATCAGCTGACTAACAGTTGAGTAGAAGAGCGGGGATTACCAAGGTGGCGTGCGTTTGTTGCCAGGCAAATGAATGTGGACAAGTGAATAACAATGAAAATGTAACGAAAAGTTAGAAAGAATGGGTTAGTCGGCTGAAGAAAGCTGATACGCTGATACGTCACGTACCGGGTAGAACCACCTTCAAACAAACACTGACCAAAAGCGTTACCAACGAATTTACTAACACTTATTTCATCGAAATCTCTTAAACTGCAGTCAAATGACCAAGTTTTGCCAGATCCATTGACAATCACACCTGATTTGCATTTGTATTCTGCTTGTTGACATCATTTTTTACAATGTAATTTTGATCAGAAAAGGCTTAGAAAGACCGCTTATATATACGCGAAAGAAAATGGGTCCTGGACCGAACACTGAAGAACGTTAGTGGAAAGCGGAGACGGTTATGAGACGGTTGTAACTGTGCGGATTGTTAGGGGAGGTTCGATAAAATGCTGGTATAGTGATTCTGCGATAACTCTCTAAATTTTCCGAGAGAGGAAATTGCGGTTCTCTGTCAGCTGTCTTGGTTGGGTCTATAATGAACGCGCTAGTGAATTTCCCTACGTGGGGTTAAGCTGTCTATGGTTATTAGCTGATTATTGGTCTGCTTGAGAATCACGTGTTAAATCGTTCTCAGTTAGAACCTTCAGAATACGCTGTTTAGAAAGGCTTTTGGAAGATGTTCCTGGGAATGCTGGTTATACTCATGGAACTATAATTCACATTGGTTTGAGGAAAACCTTTCTCGAACAGTTGCTCTTCCTACGTTTGTGATCTTATTCCTGTGTCCAAACACTTTATGAAGAGTCAGGTATACGTGGCTCCTAAGATCTTCACCGACTCGTTTAGGGTACGCGGGTGGATTTCGTCCGACCGCAATGAGCTGAAAGGGTTGTACACGTCTGAGTTAGCCCTTTGCTCCGATTGCATTGGTGAAGTTTTCCTCCAATGTAATACGTAGAGGTGCGGATATCGGATGAATTGTTCAACTGAGAGGGTAGAAAATTTGAGATTGGTCCGAACTGCGACATGAACATTTCCACCCTTTTCTAAAGCCAAGGGGAATGAGGTGCAATCTGACAGGTATACGGCCCGTTTTAACGGGATAATTTTCCGAGTTTGATGCATGTAACTGTAGAGAACTGATCGGTTTATACCCAATCTAGTCAGGATGTCTTTCTATTGCTTTCGACCATATTCTCCCCTACTCTCCTCTTTGCACAAATTACAAATGCAGACGGAGCTGTTTGCACCTATAGATTTACCGTGGATGTCCTACAAGTAGATGATGATTATCCCACGGTGAGGTATGTCTACTCGGAAGGGGGCCTCGAAATAGTCGGACGTGCAGGTGACCCGCTGTGCGCACACACTGATCTATTACGTTATTGATATGTTCCATTTCTTCCATTTGATGGCTATGAAGAAGGTGTGTTCGAAAAACATACTTCAGTTTGAAAATAAATTGTTCTTTTGAAAGATCACATTTTCCTAATAGACCGATCGAAACATGTGTTAACGGATTATTACGTCGAAACAAAATGAACAATGTCGTCTAGTTTGTTTGGTAGGCAGAGCTAATTTACTGCATGCATGAAGTGATCGTCTCCCACTGAGACAGTGTCTATAAGGAAAGAAAATTTCTGGTTTGGATAACTGGTCAGGCTCTGGACATACTGATTCCAGGATGGCTTCTTACCAATGCCAGCAGTGTCTTTTTAAAGTCTTGTCGACGGCGTGGAGTTTATTGAAGTCTACTTTCGAGACTTTGAATTCTTCTACCACAAAGAGATGTAACATTGAATGAATAATAGCTCTTGAACTGCTGAACTAGCCTACTAGCAGTTGGAACTTAACGTCATCACTAAATGATGGACAGTACACCATCTCGTTTTCTATTTTTTTCGAGTGGATTAAAGGATTTGAGTTCAGGAGCACTTTATGGAGGGGAAACTGAAGGGATGACAGAATCTCTGGAGGAGCGATATGATAAGTTTTATGAGGATCACATCAGCTGATCCATCCCTCCTCAAATCTCCTTAGGATGAATGAATAACCACCGATTAATACTTCACCACCATTATCTCTAGGTGCCTTATGTCACGTAACACTCGCCCACCAGAATCTTGTTCCAAGTGCTGAGATAAGTAACGAAATATGCCTCCATGTCCATTCATAAGTGATTTTAGCAGTAGATTGGTGAAAGGAGAGAATGTTGCGATAAGCTTCGTAAAACTTTTATTAGTACCGAATTTGTTCCTCCAAGTTCATCTACCAGGGACTCCCGTAGGTCTAGTGCAATTAGAACAACTTATTTTATTAGTTCGAGTGGAGAGTAAGTCACAGGTCGTAGTAAGGTCATTCGTGTGTGTGTGTCTGTGTGTGAGGGTTTGTCCCTTGCATCTGTCTGTCTGACAGTCAAAAGTGCTCTAAATGGGTAGACAAGACTAACAAAGTAGTTGTATCCGACACATTCTGCGATTTTGTGATTTTAAACGGAACTGGTGGGATCAAATTCGTGATATCTTTTGAAGTGATGTAACTTACTTGCGTAAAACAGATATTCTAACCGGACGATACATAAATGATCATCGAAGGGGCAGTAGTCACCTGAGTGCTGCCGATTGAACTCAGTGCAAATGCAACATCAGGTAGGCCGGTCAAATTGGCCTTGGTGTCTATAAACAAGTGAATATCAGACTGTAGAAGCTTATCGCAAGCAAAGTTCGGTAGTGATGCTGAAATCGTACGAGGTGATGCGTGTAACTGTTATGCGTGTTATTCGGGGGAAAGAAAATGAGTTTTCGGAATCTGTAAAACTATTGAGTAAAGGGACGTTTCAACAAAGCTGGTGAATAAGTGACCATACATTTCAGAGTTTTGGATTCGAAACTTGATTTGTAAGCGCAATTCCTCGGAGATAGGCTTTTGACATCGTGCAAGTGTTTGAAATGCCATACGCGCATTGATGTACGAGGTTAGCTAAGGTGGTCACACTCGGAGCCAACGGTCAAAATGCCTTCGTTTAAGGCAACGAAACGAACTGTCACATTCAGGACTCCATGTAGAAGATGCACCCTCTTCCTGGAATGTTGCTTAGGTATTTATACGTTTCAAATCGACTGTGGTTGTCTGGGATTTATGGCCGAATGAGCTCGTCTAGGTAGGTGAGCTTCCAAATACCAATTGTTTGCATTTTTACTATTTCACTTTCCTTTATTCCAAGTCGAACAAAGGAATAAATGATGCGATACAAAATTCCCAGTGCAGGGAACAGACACCAATGAAGTTGGGCCGAAAGAATCGAAGAACGTTNATTGGTATTAGTGATCAGTGATTCGTTTGCTCCTCTGAATCATGCAGATGACGGCACATATCACAAAGGAGAGAATGATGGTAGATGTACATATCTGTTCTGACAGTAACGCTGTATTCATGATCGTTTTGTTCTCCACCTGTTAGACACTGGTCATCATCTGACCAGCCACGTGTATAACTTTTCCACCGGGTGGACTTACAGCATGTGACTTCAGATTTTGGCAAAACAATAACGATATGATCAGATATGGGATATTTTTCAGAATACCAGTGACTCATTCCTGTTGTTTTTTTTGGACAACATACTGATATTATTGATAACTTTTCTTTTCTGGGAGTAACGGTTGCAAGATTTGCATTTCATTCAATGTATTCATTCTCGCTTTAGACCTTCCCCATCATTTGGCTCGCACGGAACGATCGACACAAATTAACACAATCCGGACCGTTTTGCCCTAGGCTCAATGTGGATTCAAAATCAGTGCCGACGCCTCCTGAATCTGAAGAGTTTTGTCAATGTGGATATTATTTCACCACAAGTCCGTTTGGACAATTCATTGTTGGCAACTTCGAAACTGATGGCCGAAACAATCGATTTCTGCTGTCTACGACGCAGTCCTTTTGGATGCCAACAAATGGTGATTATCAACTAAAAAGGGACGTTTGCCACTGTCATATGTCTAGAGCAATTTTACGATACCATTCGGATTTCGAACTGTTTCATTCAGTGCAGTTCCCTGGTACTAAACCGGTTTCATGAGAAGTTTTGTGAACTGTTGGTGTTTTTGTACCCCGAGTACAAGGTCCTTCAGGGATCGGGATTTGTGAATCGTGATTTGGAGGAACTCGGGGACTTTTTGAAAAATATTCTCCTGAACATGGTTTCCAGAACAACAACAAAAACACCAACAGCGGCAGTTTGTGACAATGAAATCGATTTAGATATAAATCTATTCCAATTGTCTGATTCGCAGTGGATACCGGTTGATGATGAAGCTGTTCTCTGTACTAATCTATCCGCGTTCACTCATAACCGGGATTCTGGAAAAATAGATGACCGGAGAAGGTGCTTGCTACAGATATTATTCCAACCAACCTCACACAAAGTAGCAATGGTTGTCTAACTGGAATCGATCATTAGAATGGATCATCAATTGGCGATTCACGCATTCAAGATATTGTCACTTATACTACCGTTGAACTACACACAAAATGCTCAAATTTGTTCGGATACCGTGCTTTTAGCTAACCGGCTGGAGCGAACCGCGTCTCCAGTGAGTGATATTGTCTTGTTTATGAGCAAGGACTTACGAGCCAATTTGGATCTTTTCGTACGTCTGCTCCTCAACCGACTGCAATCCAGTCACGGAGATCGAGTGGATGTGCTCCACTTGCTGAACGAAATGACAGATAATTCACAAGCAAAAGGTCACATTCTGCATAGATTGGATGATTTGTTCGCGGTTGCCCTCCCAGAGGTCAGCGACTCGGTACGACAAAACTTGTTCGACTGCATGCGAAGAGCCAATCCAGTGGATTGGCTCAAGCGCGATTCGATTTGCTCCGTGTTGATGCAACCACACGAAAAATCACTTGGTTACCTGAGCGCAAATCAGATAAAACAGTTCATCGAATTTTGGGAATGCAGTCATGAAACTACTTCCATGACAGAAAATGACGTTGATATGTGTGCAAGCATATTATCGGATCCATTTCACCATCAATACTTCGAGTTACTAGGCGAGCTTCTATTGGTGACGATTTCCAGAAGAAAGAATAGCATCAATTTCAGACCGATTATGAGCGCTCTTCAACAAAATAATGGTCTCATTCGTTACCCAAGTATTCTTAAACTACTGCTAAGTGGTTTGTATTCAGGCCCAATTTTTACGGCGGACATTCCTACCCCAACTTGAAATGATCTACTTGCACTCAATCATGGTGACACTGTTCCGCTGGATCAGATAATCGAGGCCTGTAAACTTGTTCTCCGTATGTTCCCCATATCGACGATTCTGCACTGCCCGGTCTTACAGATGCCGTTCACAATTGAATCGCTCGGTTTACCTCGTCTGATCCTGATTTACTTTAGTCATGAACGCTGCCGATCGTGTGATGATACTGCTAAGTCAGCTATCACATTTCTGTTCAATTACTATGCGGATCTGCGTGAAGATGAGTCAATAATGGAGCAAATAAGACGGTCAAGAGACTGTGGCGATTCGGAAACCCAGGTGTACTTGCTTCTGAACGCGTTATGCATCATCAGTTCTCACGGTTTCCAAGTGAATTTGGAACATCCTGACGATGTTCCCAGAGACGAGTATCTTTGCAAGTTGTTATTTACAGTGATGCTGCAGTTATATTCACAAGAAACAGATCTTATGGAAGAAATGGAATTCGCCCGTGTTTTGGATGACTTGTTGAGATCTTTACAGACAAGTGAGCGGTCCGCAATGAGACGTGTTCTGACTGTAATGCAATTATTCATTTCCGATCCGGAAACTGCAGATACGGATTTGCGCTTTGTGAACGGAGTTCTCCTCGTGTTAAGCTCAAGTTTCCTGACGAGGAAAATATTTTTTAAGGAAAACTTCCGTTTGTGTAGAGATGAGTGGAAGTTACACATGGTTTGGTTAAAAGATCTTATGATGGCCAAGGACATTTCATGCACTGAGGAACAGTTGGAATAGCTGAATGAGTATACCCGATCTTATCCACCAGGGATCATTCACAGTGTTCTAGATCAACTAGAATCCGTTGTCAGATTTATTGAACTATTAAAGTTCTTCAACAGACTGGACTGCTTAGAAATGGACTACGTGAATAAATAGTTGTTCTTGACCTCATTACCAAAACAGACGGGGCTGGCGTTCTGGTCACAATTGTTATACCACAAACAGTTGGAAATTCTGCTGACGCCGGGATTTGATGACATAATCGACCGGGATGGGGCAGACTTTCACGAAAAGACTGGGAATAATGCGTACAATCAAGGGAATAATTCCAACTACTGTTACAGCATTGAAGATATCGACATCATTGTTCAATCTTGAATGGCCCAAGTGAGAAGCAATTTCATCATTTAGCCAACAACAACCGTAGAAGTGTTTTTCCGCGAACATTTGAGTGAAATACTGAGGCTGTACGACGTCAGTGGAGGAATGAAAACAACTGCCCCGGTGCTGATATTTGCCAACCAATGGATTTTGATTGTGTTTTACCTGCACCAGGGTCGAGGTACCGTGCTTTATTTCGACATTCGAGATCGCATCAGATTTGCTGATGAGGAGGATGAAATGTTTCAGCAACTGGAAAGGTTTTGCCAGCCTATGCTCGTTCAAGCATACTTCTGTAGAAATCAGCCAGTTCCCGATTCCGGTATACAAGTACTGATTTCTATGAAACTATTAGCAGAACAACTTTTTCTGTCCACCGGAAATTTTCAAGCGTATCACAAGCATCGAGGCTGACAATCATCGAAGAAACATTTTTCCGGAAAGGTTTGCACTGACTGTTTGTCGACCATACAGACAGAAAATCGTTTTGAATAGGCTCCGGTCGCAAATGCATGCAGTAAAAGATGCTCTTCAAAATAAGCTCAAATTATTCTCGATAACATTAATGGATGAAGCCATCGAACAGTCGTGCAGACCTCAAATTATCATATCGTGTCGGTTTACCCTGACCGAAATGTTTTTATCGGACACATGCGATTATTGGTACCTGTTTCCATCAAATGAAGCTAATTTCTCAGACGAAACGGTTGCCTTGCGGAGCACTTTGAAATTATTCGTCAGTTCCGCACCATCCACAGTGAGTGCAAACGAGATCACCGTGGATGCAAAATATTTGAAGTCTTTACCATCCCTTGTCGAGGTAACCAAACCGACCATTACGCTCTCGACCACGGAGCATAAAAGTCTGCTCAAACAACTTGGAGTGTCCAACTGTCGAATTGAAAATGAACAGCTGTATGCGCGTTTCAAATTGATGTCGGATGAGCTGATAGTAATCGATAGAACACCCATACTGAAAAGTACCCAATTCAGCATCATGTTCGAGAAATCGCGTTCACTCGTGGATGCCGGTTGGCAGCATGATTCAATTAGTATGATCATGAACAGCATCAATTCTACCGGACGGCTATATCAAGTAATTGCTACCCTCGATACAGTTATCGCTTTCCGATTGAGAGAACTTGATACAGATGCAGCTCTGTCAAATCTGCTGGATCAATTAGGATTTGCCGAAACCGAGTGCCTACGACAATGAGTGAATGAAATGGCCATGCGTTGCACGTTTCTCGAAGCTAAGAACAAATCGCGAAAACAGTTATGCACCGAACTGATGAGCATCAATGCACAACAAAGCATAACGTATCTGCGTGATTTTGATATGGAAAAAGCGCTTGAGAAAGTATTCTACGAATACATGAAAGTGCACGAGTGGACGAAGAGTGACATCAAAAGATGGGCAAAGAATGAGAAACATTGTGATTCTCTACTCCAATCCCCATCACAACCACAACCACCACTGAAGCCACACAACTGCATAGCTGTTTTGATGAGAGGCGTGGAATTGATGCAGCAATACAGACCGCGGGACGCGCAGCTGTTAGCCCTGCTCTGTTTATTATACCCGCGGTCAACCTGGAGTAAGACTCGTACAAGTCGATACGGGAGAGGGAACATGCATCACAATCGCCATGTTTGCTGTGGCCAAATGTTTAGATGGGCACAAAGTGGATATTGTGACAACTTCTGATGAACTGGCAATCCCACAGTCGGAAGCACATAAAGCATTCTTTAAATTGTTTGGTCTAAGTGGGGCACACAACAAGGTAGACAATTGGAAAGTAGATAACTGTTATGGGGCAGATATCGTGTATGGTGCGGTGGAAAACTTTCTATCGGATATTTTACATCAAGAGTTTTATAAATATAACCGACGAGGGCAACGCAATCACGACGTTGTGGTTGTAGATGAAGTAGACAGCATGTTTATTGATGAACAGAATTCATCCGTGCATTTGTGTTCCGGTACACCAGGAATGAATCACTTATTGCCAATACTGTCAACCATAAGGGCACAAGTGAACCGTGCGGAACAGTACATTCGGGAACAAGATGACCAGTTGTATTATATTAACTATGAAGCGCAGAAGGAGAGCCAAAACGATGACGAGTTGGTGAATGAATTGTTGGTACCTTTATGAACCAGTCGAGAGCGGTTTATCACAAAAACGACTGAGACATACATGAGAGAATTACTGCGCTTCGACGATCCCGTAGACACTGAGTACCCGCAGTTGAATGTTCCACAGCATCCTAAAGAGTTTATCAAGAATTTTCATTTATCTCGATTGATTGAGAGCGCAATTAATGCAAAATATTATTACAAGAAAGGAGAACGCTATATGGTAAAATATGACAAGGTGATTTCAATTGATGTAGGCAACACTGGGGTTTATCAATTAACGAGTGTTTACGGCAATGGATTGCATCAATTCCTACAAATGAAGGAGGATGTGCCAGTGAAAGCCAAATCGCTTGCGACAAACTTTCTATCTAAGTTGGCTTTTTTCCGAAGATATGGAAAATCAATATTCGGACTGACGGGAACACTCGGTGGAGTGGCACATCAAGAAATGCTCAAAAACTGTTAACACGTTGATTTGGTTGTTGTGCCGCCATTTCGTTTGAGGCATCATTACGAACTGTCCCCCATTGTGACCACTAAATCCGCGGACTGGAAAGACGCGATCACAAGAAGTTGTCTGGTACAAATGCGAAACGGACGTGGGGTGCTTTTGATCAACCAATACATAGACGTGTGCAACGAATTCAACCAATTGTTTCTTCAGCTTGGAGTTGCACAGGAAAATATCAAATTGTATACATCTGGAGAAGAATCGAATGTGATTCGGCAGTTGTTGGAACCTGGTCAGATATTCATAGCAATAAATATAGCAGGTCGCGGGGCAGATGTTCAGCCCTCTTTGAGCGTTGAAAACAATGGTGGCATGCATGTTTGCATTAGATTTCCACCATCAAACGAAAGAGTTCAGAGACAGAATGTCGGTCGAACCTCGCGCACCGGAAACAAGGGAACCAGTCAGTTTATTGTTTTGGATACACAGGGTAGGAGTACCGAACAAATACGGCAGGCAAGAGATTTCGTCGAAAAGAAGAAACTTATGGAAAACCAACGAAGGGTAGAAAAGCTGGTTGCCAACGACAAAGCCTTTCAGCAGTATTCTACTATTCTAAACGATATCGACTGCGAATACGACCGTGCAGCTGTTGAAGAGAGGTTGGTAATTTGGTTAAAAATGCAACATGGCGTTTGGGATGACACCGGTGAAGTCACCAACAGCGATTTCGCAGCATTCAAGAAAAGAACACTGGAGGATAAAGAGAACGGAAATCTTATTCAGTACCCGTATTACTATGTGTTGAAGGGCAATAGTTTTCTGATTAGAGGGGAATATAAAAAAGCTATTGACGAGTGAGTACACATCGGCAATCGCGTTAGATGAGGAATATAGCGAAACCGCTTAATTTAACCGGGGCTACACGAAGCTAAAGTTGTACGAACAGAATTTGAATAATCAGGAAAAAGAGATTGATGAAGCTGTGGATGATATATGCCAGCCAAAAGAAAAATTCCAGTCCCGCCTGTCGGAGTTCCAATTGCTAAACGGGATTTTTAAGTCTGAAATAGTGACTCAACAATTGGTGTGTAAATTCACCCTTTTGCAATTGCTAATAAACTCAGCAAATTGCGCAATCGAATCTCAATCGATGATCAAAGAGTTGACTGTTGAAAACCGTATCCCGACTATCCACCTAATGAGCCTGAAAGAATCGCTTCCCTAACAAGATGACCTCAAATTATATGACGAAGGTGTTGAAGAACTGGCAAAAAACGGTGTCATAGGTAAGTTCGTCGTTGGGCACAAAAATGAAATGCCATGGACATCAGTGCTCTCGTTGTCTTGCATCGGACTGTGTCAAATAGTAATTGGAGCTGCTCTCTGTGTGAAAACCATGGGTTCGGATGCTTCAATAGGTTTTGGATTAGCTATCGAGGGTGTGACTGACTTGATCAAAGCGGTATGTGAGGGCATTATTGATCGGGAGATCAACTGGAAAGCTTGGGCTATAAGCAAATCAATCAGTTTAACTGTGACTGTGATCTGCGCTGAAAGGAAATCGATAGCAGACTGCGCGAAAACCGCATGTGATATGGGAACACATATACCGAGATTGTTCTCCCAAGGGATCACAGGAATGTCACGGGAAGGTCTGAAACTTGATTACAAGATCGCGGCCCACGAGGTTTTGAAAGGTGTTACGAGAGAATTGGGAAACGTTCTCTGTGATTTCACATTCAGAACTGTAATTCTGCCCATCGTGGAAAAGGGATTCAGAAATTCAGTAAATTCCATCGTGAATGAGATTTTGGCGAATCAATTTGTGCACGATTTATTAAAATGGGATGCTCGTGAGAGAGATCATCGGCACGAAGAGCAATTGATGCAGGAAGCTTCTAACGTGTTCAATATGATGAAAACCGAGAAAGTTTGGGTGACTATGTTGAGGGGATNAGGGGATTTAGTTTAAGTGTGGCCAAGACGAAGAAAAAATGGTTTAAAAAGAAGGCCTTTGCGGTGCAAATAAGTGCCTATGTAGTGCAATTCGGAGAACAGGTATATAAGCTGTACAAGGCAAAGGGAATGTTTTCACAGCAACTGCTTGATGCTTTAAAGAGATTGCACGAAACCGCTTCATCCGCAAACAGTCAAACATCAACTGATTCCCGTCCAATGGATCGTGCTCCCGATTATGCACAGGAGCAGGCGACTGCAATTATGCGTACCAAGAAGAATTTACGGACAATGCTAACCAATCAGTTGATTGACATTATGTGTGGCATTGTGAAAGATGGTTTCTATAAACCTGTTACTGGATATGTTGTAGACAAGCGAGAGGACCGCGTTTGGAAATCCTTTAGCCATAAAATCAATCTTGAATTAAGTTTATATCAAGCACAGAGACGGATTATTTTTAGGTCAGATCCTACAAAGCGTCATCGTCTTGATCCAGATGAATTGAAGAATTTAGATAACGAGAATACAAGGATTCAAGCGCAAAACATTGTTACCAATCTGAAGAATGGCGGCAAGGTCGGAATTGGTGAACTCCCGTATGCGGCTCATGCTCTCAGAAGACCAATAACAGTTTTGGACGAACACGGCAACGTTTTTGTAAATATTCGTGCTGGTCAAGAAGGTGATCCAATCAAGAAAATCAATATGATAAAGTAAACCAACATTGGCAATTACCCGGGGGCGGTGAGCCAAACATCAAATCATCAAAGCCAAACCACTGTGTATTTGATGTGCTAGCCCATCAGATCGGGGGTGATCCTGACGACATTCAACGAAGAACCGTAAACCTAATGGAGAATAATAGTTCTGAACTTGCCTTGCAGGTACAAGATTATTATTGCAAAACTCTAAACCTCAAAGTCTACTTCTTGGAGGGGAGTTAAAAACGGGTCCACTGCAATCACTTCACTACCCTTCGCATTTAAACAGAATACGTGCGGATGAAGCTTTGTTACCGGTCATCACTGATTTGAGTAATGAACTTAAAACACGGTTACTAGAATATGAACAGTACGAGAAAAAGAGCGGAAGTTCAAAGCACCAACATAGAGAATGCAAGCGTGTTTGGCGATGCTTCTGGAAGACGGAGATGATGATGGGTGCCATGTGGGTGGAATTCGACAATGGAACCCATTTTCAAGCGCTGACACTGTCAGGACCAATTGACAGCCCTGTGGAAAAACGTTATGTCAAGGATAAAGTGGTTTCACAGTTAATTCTTTAAAATACCAGGGGTTTCTCATTATTGAATCCAGGTGATGTGCAGAATCGAAAGATTTTTGACGTTTTCACACGAACGTTTCGTGAGGAATGTTATAACTCAAACTGCGCTGGAGCAAAACTCTTCTCCGCTCTTGGAGATCATATGCTTCAAAATCCAAATATAAATATTGTTGGAGAAGTAAAGATGATTGAAGCATGGCAGGGACAATCAAAACGAAAACCATGTGACGGAAAGCCTTCAAAAAAATAAAACTGAACAAATTGTTAAAAGAGCATCTTGCCCGAAATGCCCGAAATCTTTACCAATTGCGACGGGCGCGCCTAATCAACTCCATCACCGCACCAATACAGATCATAATTTTTAAATTTATGGTACAGTGAAACGCATTTGTTTCTTTTCTTTCATAATTTGAAATACCTGAAATAGGATTAAGTTGATATCTGTTTTGATAAGACGTTTTTGGTCAGGAAGATGTTGATCAGCTCTCGAGATCCTTTTATAGTGATTTGGTTCCGTGTTTTTGCTGTTCCACAAATCGAATAAAACCATTAACAATAAGAGGTGAATTCCGAATCCTGATAGCACACTGACCGATTTGTGTTGAAATACGATTTAATAATATACTGCTTGACTAAAGTGGGATTCAAAACAATATCCGTTTGATTGATTCGACTGACTATCCTTCCGACTTCACCTTTCTCACACAACCTTCAGTTTCTCTATGCAACGATACACTCGGAAGCACTTGACTCGATTTTCTCTGTTATTAGAGCTCATCATCAGTAGTACATGTTAACCGCCTCTTCCAGGATTTGAACTCCGGACCCATCGCATGGAAGGCGAGTGCGTTACCAGTGTGCCAAACAGCTCGCATCATGGCTGAATTGCCAATTCATGGTTGTTTAAGTGTCGTCTTCAGTGATAGTGAAGGTAAAGTCCGAAGCATAGTCAGTCAACTCAATCAATATCAATTATCTCACACCACTACCCACAAGTGACTGTGAGTTCAAAGCGAAATATCCGTTTTGTTCAAATTGTGGTGTGTTGAGAGTTGAGGGAACGCAATAGTCTGCCTATCTGTTTTGTTGGTACTTGTTCTCAAAATGAGGGCATTCGACCAGGAGGCATCAGAAAAATCATTACCTAGTATTTGATAAAAGAGCGATTATTGACGAGGGTCGGGTGATTGGTGAGTTTCTTACTGCCGTATCGTCACAATGTTCGGAAAATGCTAACCGATTGCTAAGTGTCGTTTAGTCATCTGACGATAACTGAGAAAATATCAACGGGGGCTTCAATCGGATTCGAAATCAAGAATGTGTGCGTGTGTGCGTGTGTGTGTGTGTGCGTGTGTGTGTGCAGGTATCCTGATATTCCTTAGCACAGTTTTCTCGGAAGCTTGATAACCAATCCTTTGTCACAACTACGGTTAATAGATTTAAGATGCCGAAAGAGAAACGTTTGTGCGGACCAGGGCTAACTGTTCCCCATCACCACGGTCAGCGCAAATAAGCTCATCTGTCCGAACGATCCTATTTACAACCTCGAATGGGATCAGAAAAATTCGGTCTCATGCGCGAAATGGTTTTGGTTAAAAATCTGTAACCGTAACAGTTGTTGCGGATCCCATTTTACTACCTGTGCATATACAAAATTCACTCTCCAGCGAGTTAATGTCAAACCTATGTTTGCTAGCTTCAATATGCTCACGTTCATTGGAATGGCCATAGGAGATGGAAAACGTGTACACCAATAACTACACAGTGCAAAAGTGTCGAAATTGTGTTGTTTGCAAGATGTGCATCTTGCTGGCATGTGAACAACAATCCGGGTTTTGCGGGTCTGATACAAATCGCATTCTACAGTCAAATCCCCAGACCGTCATATGACTAGTTCTGCTTATCGGTATTCCATGGGATGCTTTACGACGGAGATGAGCTGCAGGGAGAAAATCGATAGGTAAGAAACGCTATGGATCAAACTCGGACCACATGAGCTTCAGCTGAACAGTACATTTCAGTCCCCAAACTCATAGGTGGTTTCGGATAGATATGAAGATAAAGGGCATTTGCTCCTAACTTTATCTCCTGGTGAAATGTTTTCAGTTCCTTTGCAGCACCATTTGAAGCAAGGTGACTTTGAGTGTGACGATAACATTTGTAGTAATTCAAAAGTTACCTCTAAAAATTAGAGACTATGTGGTGCGGGCATGGAATTTCATTCTTCGTGAAGGCGATTTGCTGTGGTCAATCTAAGTACTCTACGTAGCATGGGGTTTTTCATAGGGTGTAAAGTAAATGTACAGCGAAATGCGAATTTCTCACCCTGATTACATTGAACGTCCTGTACTATATACTGCCGATGTGAATTCTCGCATCGGGGAACTTGGACTGTGCGGTTAGCAAATTACACGTTTATAATCTCACCACTTGTGGCACCGTCGCGACATGCGGCTGTCTGTAAAGAGTTGAGTGTATGATGTTCAGTTGTTGTTCATCGAGCTTGGCAATTGTATTGCAAACGTTTCATCACCAACCGAGGTGACATTCTCAATGCAGTAACTGGGTCTGGGTCGAGTGTATTTTGCAGCAGTTCGGCCAGTCCTGCTCTACGGTGCAGAGACTTGGCCATTAAGGGAACAGGATAAAAATAGATTGTCGATGTTCGAACACCGCTGTCTATGTAGCATTTCACGTTTCTGGTGGGGCAACCGGACTAGCAATGCTGAGGTTAGGTGTAGAGTTTTAGGCAGTCGCGTTCGTCCACTAGAGCAAGTGATCGACCTCCAAAAATTACGCTGGTTGGGATATGTGCTACGCATGTCATCAGATAGGTTGCCACGGCGAACGATGTTTACCAAGGCTAATAGCGATTGGAAAAAGATAAAGGGTGGTCAAACTAAGAACTGGCATGGGGGTGTGAAAAACCTAACCAGGAGACTAGGTCACATAAGCCCCGTTAGGCTACCTGGCTGGGGACCTCGGGATGATGGTCACCGATGGTTAGCTACCCTGAGTGATATGGCTGAGTGTCGCAAACAGTGGCGCTCGTGCATCCACTCGTTATTCGTCTAACACCACTCAATATGAATTCCCTACCTTCCGCTTGAATTTGCCTCGACATTCGAATCTACATTTTGCTCTTTTATCCAGCTGGGCAACTAAAAGACAGTAACCAAAACCGGCGCACAAAAGTGCATGGCAGATGATTTAAAAACCTGAACTGAATCTCACCATGCCCAAATCGAAAAAATCATCCAAGAGTTTACGATACACATTGAGGAACCGGGGCAGTGTTATAGGGCTGTAGAGATCTGACGTTTCACTGTTAAGACTTGTGCTTCGATGTAGAGCGAAAGTACTATTTACGGCACAAACAACAATGTATAACAAAGAACCGTCACCGAGTGGTATTCCGGAATGGTAGTTGTAATGTGAACCATCAGTAATTCGCGCAAGACGTTGCATCTGCGAATAACCAATATCGAAGACATTACGGGAGGATTAGTGTTAGAGCAGGGCTCACAGACTCCCTCAGGTGGCAAACGTATTCGCGTTGGCAATACCCAAGGCAAACCGAATCCGAATTGGATGACTGTAGAATGGATCAATCAGAAAGAGATTGTCCGATTGATCAATCGGAGTGTCAGAACGCATCCTGATTGTTGCGTCACTCTGTGTTTCTAATATGCCTACCCTTTGTAATCGTGTTTCGAACACTGATTATAGAATACACTTGAACTGTGGTCTGCGGTGATATTTTCTGTTCCACATTGTTATTGGGGCATTCGAATGTGTTCGTGTTGAGAGTTCACCTAAGTGAAACATTACAGCTATATACAATTTTCGTATGCCACCGTGGGGAAAACGATTTATAATGATATCTGACATTAATGGCCGCTGAGGTCAGTCGCAGGAATGGGGTTATTGAACGCCCAACGAGCAATAAATTCACCACGGGGTTGAGACACTCATCAATGGACCTAGTTTTCCAAAACAACGTAGACGCCCCAGCAACAAAACCATGTCAGAACGACTGAAACAAGTGGTCGATAATAAAGTACATTACTTTTATTATTTTTCGGATTAACTTGAAAAGTAGGTATCATACATGTCGGTCAGTTTCGTAAATATACCTGCAGCGTGGCCGATTGTACGGTGAAAGCCGCACAAGAGCTTTCGCTCCATTTTGCTTGTTATCGCGCTCGTTGGTTCTTGTGCCTTAGTGCTTTAATGCAAACGCTCGTTAGCCGGTACCGGTACTTTCTCCATGCTACGATACCTCAATGAACGTCTACAACCCCAAGTCTTCTGGTTTATCCAGCTGTAACTCGGTTGTGTTGCGAGCTCGAGGGTCCGTTCTGAAGCGCGTTACGGCCCATCGTAGTCGAAGTCTCCTCATACCCTTGCGATTTTTTCTTCTGATACTTGGGAGTACTTGGAAATTTATGGCATCACTCACAGTTGAAATCGTGAAACGGTACGTTTCACTGGCATTCGACTAATAGAAGTAACCGTATTAGTGGGTAATATTATTACAGATATGTTCGGTTTGGTGTGTGCTAGTACAAAAAGCATCGGCGTGTATGAAGTTTGAGCGTTAGGAATTGAGACAACAGGATTAGAAGAAAGTCCATTTGTTGCAGGAGATAGAACAAGGCCTGTTATACAGTCTTTATAGTTGCCAATTGTTTAGCAAGATAGCAATGCGATGGAAGGAAACTAACAACATGTGGTATTGAGTATTTTTAAATCTGCTTTTTGTGATCGTCAGGAGTTCACGGTATAAAAGTGAAGTATCAGGGTTACGTATTGCAGAGGTGTACACTTCGACGTCTCATTCTCTGACTTGTGCAAGGGATTCCATGTCAAACAGAAGCAGTATTCATCATCAATAGTGGGGAGGGGCAATTAATTCTGCTGGATAGCAATGCGATGGAAGGAAACCAACAACATGTGGTATTCCGGACTAGTTATCGTAATTCGAACTAGTATTAGTAA